GGAAGCAAAACCAAAATGGAATAAATTCTTTCCTGTTCCATAACTTATACACATGAGAGAGACACTGATCCCCCTTCCATATTATACCCAGACTTTCAGGGTTGGTCAGAAATCTTCTGATGGAAAACTGAGTTATCAACAAATGAAAATAGTGTAATGTTTTCCTCAAAATGTTAGATTCTCATTAAAAAAAAAAAAGCCAAACAACTGTTGCTTTTCATTTTTTTTTTTTTTTTTTTTTTTGAAGACGGTCAACGTTTTCTGCAGAAAAAAGTTTCAGAATATTTTTGTTTTCTTTATAATCTTATATGCACTGATTCAGATTATTTTTCCACTCATACTATAATGTTTGAGTCCTGTCATCCACAAAATCTATTCAGGAATCTTTATGCAAAACTGAAATAAGAAAATTCCTAGGGCTAAAAGGAAATGGAAAGGGAAAAAAAAAAAATCTTGCTTTTTCTCCATATCACCCTTACATTAGTGCATCTTCACTTTGCTACATGTCTATTTGAGATTTATTGCACCCTGCGCTCTGTATATCAGTCTCTCCATAACAATTATGACTCTCTCTGAAATAATTTGTACAGTATGTTACAAAACTTTAAATTTATGCTAAAGCTATTTGAAGGTAAAATAAACTTTCCCATTGCTGTCATTATCTTTCAGCATCCTTCTTTAAATTTCAACTTATTTTTCCTCCCATTGTTTATAATGCCAAAAGACATGTCAGACCCTCTTTCTTACACTAGTTTTATACTAATATAATTCCATTAAATAAAATTAAGTTATTTCTAATTTGTAGTGGCGAGAAAGATGCATCAGATTGTCAGTTTTCTGCTATATCAATGCAAATTCTACTATAGCAAAAGCTTTGTTATCTGACACCCATGGGGAATGGGGGGTGCCTGATAACCAAATATGCCGGTTACCTGAGAGACCCAAACAGGTGTCTTTGCCTGTTTGGGCCGCTGCCTCTCCTGCCACATCCGGTCCTCCGCCACCCCTCCAGCGCTCCCAGTATGTCAGTGTGCCGGGGGACAGGAAGGGGGGGCCCCATGCAGACTGCTATGCCCTGGGCTGCGGGGGCACAGCAAAACCAGAAGTGCCATGATGGGCACTTCCAGTTTCACTTTTATGTTACAAGCCAACATGCTGGTTAATAGAGCGTGCCGGTTTGTAAGGTGCCAGGTAACGTGGCTTTTACTGTATATCAATTTAAACTGGAATGAACAAGCTAAATCATTTCCTCTGATTGATGAAAATTAGGTCAGAATTGGTTGAAAAACACACTTTCAAATATAGTTCAAGAATAAAATTATGGTTCATAATATACTTAAGTACCTACCAACGAGTTTAAAAAGGGTAGAGAGTCTGAATTCTTCTGAATGATGGTACTTGAAAAGTTCAACCGCAGAAGCTGAAATGTGGATGAAGAAACCTGGCTTTGCAAATGACTCGAAGGCACTGTAACCTGGGAGCCAAGTGTCCTTGTGGATAGCAAATGTGGATCTGTTGTGGAACTCTTCACTTTGTTCCCATTTGGAAAGAATCAGGGTATCATTAGGAGCCAAATGAAGGAAATAATTTGGTCTGTCAGCTGTTTCAAATGAAACTAAGTTGGGATCTGAAAAATACATATCATAATATTATTATGGTAATAATAGGTATTATTAGGTATGGTGGCACAGATTCATCTCTGATGTAACATCACTCAAGTCACGACTACCGAACAGGAATGAAGATATGCCAGTTTAGAAAATATTTTAAATGCGCATTTTTATAAACACAAATACTGGCAAGCCTCGTTCACACTGGATTCCTCTATCTCCAAAATTGCCCTTTGGACAGAAAGTTATTCCATGTAGGATAGGGTACTTCAGGAGCATAACTGGGATGGTGAGCTGGGTATTAGCTCTAGGAGTTGACTTAGAGGGGCTCTAGCAGAGCAGCCCTTGGGGAGCCTGTCCAGCTGCCACTGCTGAAGAATCAGCCCAGGTTTAGGGAGGTTGCACCACAGAAGTTGAAATGGCCCCTGCACCAAAAGGTAAGGTACTCATTACTGTTTCCACCCTGCCCAGTCTTCAATATTTGACACCCCAGCCCTGGGTGCCCACATTTCTAGCTACACTTCTAGTGTACTTGTCAATACAAAGGTGAAGAAATCTAACTAATAAATATAACATCTCTTCAGTACCTTTGTTAGGCATAATTTTAATCCAAAATTGAAAATAACACCTACCTAATTTTAGGAAGTTACACTTGCTCATTTGGAAGTTATAGCTCAAAAGCTCAATTACTTTTATAAAAATAAGATACTGAAGTACATTTTGCATTCCACATGCAGGGTCATGCTTTTGGAGCTTCCAAGAATTCAGTTCTCTAGCCAAGCCCCAGAACAAATAACGTTAATAACAGATTTGGAAAATGTCTTTGTTCCAGTAAGGGCTCTGTTCTGGCAACCTTACCCAGGCCAATACCTTACCCCTAAAGCAGTCTCACTGGCTTAAAGCAAATTATTTTGGTACTATTTGCTGAATAAGGTACCATTCAGTATATGGGTAGAAGAACTAGAGCATGTTACAGGCATCTGTTGCTCACAGTATTACTTCATTTTATTTTCCTGTAAACTGTGGTATTCTCTTTAAAGTAACCATAAAACTACTGTAAAATCAACTATCCCCTCAGGACAGGATACTATTTCTTTTAAAATACTGCATAGAGAACAAATAATCTCCATTAAACAGATGTTCTATCATGCTCTGTACCAAATTTCTGGAAGATCAACTTATTTTCCAAGCATGACAACATTTATTTGAACAATAGAACGGAGTGCAACAGGGCATCTTCCCCTTACTAGCTGGAGCAGGTAGCCTTACATGTGACACCTCTTCTGTCTATACCAGTATCTTTATTACCAAAATCTCCTGATCTTCTTTTATCATCTCTTCTTTGAAGCTAACAAAATATATTTATTTTTCTGGGATATGATATTATATCTGCTTTGAAATACTAAATATAATCTCAGAAGAAGCTACAGTCTGTAGAGCTATAATGATGAAAAATGTACACTATAAGCATGATGATGCTGTACATAAGTATTTTACAGATATTATCAATTCATCCAGTGCCAGGTGACTAAATGACAGAATGCTAAATGATCTTCTGAATTGTGAAAGTTCTATTTGCAAGGAACCTATCTTCCCAAATCACGAGTACAGACAACCCCAGCTTGATGCGGTTTCAGTTAGTACTATTTTGCCATAGCACTCATTTAGAATTAATACCTGATTCCGCTGAGCACTCAGCCAGTTTCACTATAGCGCTCAGTAGAACTGGAGTGTCTGCAGGCGGGCAGGCAGGGAGAAGTGGCAGCGGCAGCAGTGAGTGGAAGATGAGTGAGTGGGCGGGCAGGCATGAGGGCCCCAGGTGGGACAGCAGAAGTGTGGGCCCAGGCTGGCACATGGTGCCGAAGCAGGGGTGGGGCAGGGTAGAGACAAGCAGCTGCAAAACAGGGGAGGAGCAGGGGACCCAACCTGGTGCCCAGGGCCAGGGCCAACAGGGGCCCACACCCAGGGTGTGGGGCACGAGCATGGGGCCTATGCTGGTCTGTGGGGCCACTGGAAGTCTGCACCCAGAGTAGGGTGGCAGGAGCACCGGTGCCTGGGCTGGAGCAGGTGGGGGTGGGGAGAAGTGGCGGCAACAGAGACAAGTAGTACAGGGCCTGCGCCGGTGCCCAGGGCCAGGGCCAGCGGGGGCCGGTGCCCAGAGTGGGGTGGCAGGAGCGTGCGGCCTGCATTGGTGCCCAGCGGCAAGGGCCAGTGCCCAGAGTGGGGCAGTAGTAGTGCCAGTGCCCGGGCTGGCAAGTGGGGCCAGAGAGGCCGGTGGGCAGGTGAGGGGGGGGAGGAGAGGCGGCAGTAGTGAGAAGCAGCGAGGGGGGGCCGGGCATGAGCATGGGACCTATGCCAGTGCCCAGGGACAGGAACAGTGGGAACCCAGAGCGGAGTGGCAGGAGCACAGGCCTGAGCTGGTACGTGGGGCTGGAGTGCCGGCAGGGGGATGAGGAAGTGGGGAGAGGCAGTGGTGGGGCAGGCAGTAACTAATTCATCTTTACTTACATTAATTGCTATGGGGAAATGGGTTTCGCTTAGCACAGTTCCACTTAACGCTCAGTTTTTCTGGAACCAATTAAGAGCGCTAAGCAGGGGGTGCCTGTATAGAGATGGTTAGCTGCATTAGTCTGAAGACAGGCAGAAGATAAAATAGGGAGGTACCTAAGAGACTTAACTGCTTCTGAGAGAAGGAGTTTTGAAAGGTCTAAGCTTCTACATTGTTACTGTGGCTGGGCAAAGCCAGAGTGACAATGTAGACAAAAGGGGCAAATTTTGGTTTCCTATATGTGGTTTGGGGTCAGTTTGTGGTTCTGAGAGAATCAGTAGTTACAGTCCTGCCATTTTCTCAGTCCATTTACATGGCCCATATTTTCAGTCCACAAAGACAGTTGTTAGCAAGCACTGCTTCACTGTAGGCAACACATGCAGAAGCTCTGTCTTCAGGCTCTCTAGGGACCTGATGCACAAGGTCAGAAATTTATGGTAAGTTAATGTGCATAAAGTGCTTCTGACACTGACGTTCTTACAAGTTAGCTAAGGAAATATGGTCTGTTTGAAACTATTATAAGGCAGGTACATAACTGATTGGATAATCCAACTCAAACAGTTGTCATAAATGGCTCAATGTAAAACTGGAAGAAATTATCACGACAAACGAAGTGCCATAAGGACAAGTACAAAGTGGTACAATTAGAAAAGACTCAAACACAGAACTATATAATGAAGAATCATCATGCAGGCTATAGTAGTGGAGAAAAGGACCTAGAGTGATAGATTATCACACATTTGTTGACAAATTATATAAAAGTCAACAATGTGGTATCACTACAAAGACTGCAAATAGCATCCTGGAAAGAGGGGAGTTTTTCACTCTGTTCTACATGGATCAAAACTTATTTGGAGTACTGAGTTAAATTTTGAACACCAGACTTTAAGAAAAAGGTGAACAAACTGGAAAAATGATTAGAGTTAAACATGGCATGAGGAAAAATTGGAAGAACTGGTGTTATCTAGTCTAGAAAAGAGAAAATCCACAGGATTTGTTAGCAGCCTTCAAATACTTTTGCTGTTATAAAAAGTAAGGTGATCAATTTGTCTCTGAGTTCAAAGGGAATGGGACAAGAAACTCAAACTAAAACAAGATAAATGCTGATTAGATATTAAGAACTAAGTTAGAAGGACGTTTAAGCACTTGAAACCATGAACTGTGGAAGTTATAAAATCTTTGCTATTGGAAGTTGTAAACAGCTGGTTAGACAAAAGTTGTCTGGCATGGTTAAACAAAGATGTTTCTACTAGGGCTGTGCGAAGCTTTGGTCCCTAATTCGATTCGGCAGAGGTTCGGCCCAATTCCATGGCCGAATCTCCAAATCCAAATCAAATCGGAGGGCCCTTTAATCTCTCCATATCGAATCGGAACCCTCCGAATCGATTTGGAGAGACTCAGAAAGATTCGGTGATTCGGATATAGACACAGCTTTAAGTGTTTTTTCTGCATACCTCAAGGTACCAGGTGGCTCGTGAATGCTGCAATGGAACGTCCCACAGGAGCATGGGGTCCTCCCCAGTGCACTTGGCAGCAGACCCAGAAGTGGACCAGAAGCACTTCCGGTCCACTTCCAGGTCTGCTGGGGAGCATACTGAGGGGGGCCCCTGCACCCCCCCGGCTCGGCGACTGGTGTCTCCTGGGTCTGGGGGGGGTACCCAGGGTCCCCCTGCAGCCAATTTTTGAGCCAGGAGGGTGCAGGGGGTCCCCAGCAGATCCGGAAGTGAACCAGAAGTACTTCCAGGTTTCCTGCTGTACACACGAGGCGATCCCCACGCTCCTATGGGATGCTCCATCCACCCCACCATCGTAGTGTTCACGGGCCGCGCCTGGTATCTCAAGGTATGTAGAAAAAACATTTAAAGTTGTGTCTATAGCCAAATCACTGATTCTCCGAATCAGCATCGAATCTTTGGATTTGGCCGAATCAAATTGGGGAGTGATCCAAATCAATTAATCAAACACTGTCCGATTCGGGCCAAATCTGAATCCAAATTGAATACGGCCCGTTTTGCACACCCCTAATATTTAGTAACTGCTGAGAGCTGTAAAAAAAAAAAGCGGTTATTACTCAATTCTATGCTCAGACACAGACTTACATCCAAGGATTGAATTTGTTCTGCATTTTCAATACACACTTCACTTTTGTTAAGCTTCTCACTTATTTTTCATGTTACAGCAAATTTACCATGTGCTTTGGGTTTATATAATCCTGAAGTCAGCATAAAGCTCATTGCATCTCCAGGAACAAAATCTTTTGCTCTCATTGGGAAAACATAACCACCAATCAGTTGGGCTGCCATTGCAATTTCTTCATCCAAGTAGCTGACCAGTTTGTAGGGACCCTTCCCCAGAGCTGACAAAAAGAGAAGCCACAATTACCTTTTATACTGAGTATCATGATTAGCTACTCTCTCACATATTGTTATGGTCAATAATATAGGGACAAATTAAATAACAGTTCCAGACTACAAAATAAATCCAGGCTCCATTTGCTTAACTACAATGGGTGTGCCTTAAAGAAAAATGCTCCAAATCTCAATGTAATAGCTGTGATTAAAATTGCATAATTCTGAGCGCAATGCAAAACTCAATATTACAGCCTATCCTAAAGAAAAAGACTTTAACATAGGTTCAGTAAACAGATTTAAAAGGTATTTTGAACATTGAAATTTTTACCTCAGATTGACTTGGACACTAATATTTAAACACCACATGTCTTGATAGAAAGCTCCCTCTTCAGGTTACCCAACAAAATACACATGGGAAATTAGATCACTTAACAATCAAGTATCAATTTTAAAGTATAAGATTGTCCTAGGCAGTGTATGTCACTAGCATATGATTAAATAATTATCAGGTAAAATATGGTATTTATTTCTTAATGAAAAGCCATTTATTCCTGACCCAGACATTTATAAAAACTGCAAATAAGTTATGAATTAAGCAAACTTTGGTTCAGTATATATTCCAAGATAAGTGAACACTGGAAAAGCAAGGCATGCTTGCAATATAGTAACATGAACTTTAAAAATATAAAGTAATTGCAACTTTCTTCTCTCATCAGGAATCTAAATCCAAAGCTGCTTCTTTTATTCAAAATTATAACAGTTAATACAGAGTAATAATACATTTCTTGATGTCTTACCAACCCTTAGATGACTTACCTTTATTAAAATATTCACAGTCATAAGCTAAAAAATATAAATGAAAAAACACACTTAGATATTTAGCAGACCTGAAATTTAAACAAGTTTTCATTTAACCTACTTAATGAAGGTAAAGACAAAAATCAATCCAAAACCAAAGGCCAACAATTAGATTGTGCACAGACTTTATTTATTTATTTTCAATCAAATTAGCAAAATATTTTAGCAAAATGCAGTAACCTCTGAACTATACCTAGCACACAGCTATTACAAACACATAAAATTGTCTATTTGTGACCTCTAGTGGTCCACACTGAGCTTGGCAATCTTCCTTGATGACATTAAAATATTAGCATAACATTTATAACATATAATCTATAACGTCAGAAGTTATGCAGAGCTTTCTTAATATATCACTTCAGGCAAGGTACTCAGTTTCTCTGTACTTTCATTCTCCATCTCTAAAATTGGAATAATTCTTCCTCTTATCATTTGTTCACCTTTCCCTATCAGCTATACAAGACATGGGGTGTCCCAAACTATGCATTTAAACTAGGTACTGTATGATAAGGCCTTTATCTCAGGACACGGACATGAAAACATGTTACCATGAAATAAAAGGGAGATGGAATTTGCCACATCAGCTGCTCCACAGTAACTTTCCATGTGCATGCACTTAACCTGTAGTAAAAAAGTTAATCTATAGCAGCGAGCTTCCCAATTAAAAAGTGCTAAACTACCATGGGTTAGCTTTTACCTGCTACGGGTTAACAGCATGCACACAAGGAATTACTACAGAGCAGCTGATGTGTGGTAATTCCCTGTCCCCTTTTGCCCATACTTTCAGTATGAGCCTCCTGGACCTACTGTAAAGCTAATGACTAATAGTAAAGCACTATTTTTACGTTCTGATTTGTATTTCCTTAAAACACTGTAATCCTTCACTTCCTGCACGTTGTCTTGGACGAGGTAGATAAAGAACTGTGTTTTCTAAGGCATATAAGATTGTAAAGCTCCTGGAACAAAGAGACAAGATTTGTTCTATGAATTATTGGGCACATTCTCTATTCTCTTGAACCTAAAATCATAGTATTTGGAGTAGGAGTATGCCACAATCACATTCTGCCCAAGTGGTTTCTTGTCAGCAGTTTGAGTGGCGCTCTACATACCCTGTACAAGGGACTCTACACTTCCATTCACACCATGGGAAAGGAAGAAAACGTGGATGTGTTACCTACAAATATGGAAATGACAAGTGGCTCAACATACAGTGCAAATCCATATGGACCAAGCAGTGGGCTATGTGGACTATTTTCTCTAGATACCCAGGAACAGCTGGAGCTGGGAGTTCCATCCAACAGATCCCTTCCCTAAAGAGTGACATGTACAAGGGCTATGCTCAGCTGACTCTAATTTGGTTATTTTTTCAAGATTAGATCCGATATACGAATTGTCAATGGCTGGGTGGGTAGCACTTACGACACACTCTGGGAGATCTCCAGTCTACTGTGACTCCATGCTGACAGCACTGATGTGCATATGCTGATACACTCGTACAGAAACATTCACAATCACCTCCTTGGTTACAGCCACATGTGTCTGTTAAACAGTTTGAATAAAACCAGGTGACATCAACCTGAAGAAGATAAATCTTATTTTAAAATAATTCACAGATAGATTCTGACAACAGTAATTTCAATGCAAAGCTGTAAGTGCTTGACAATTTACCATGTAAGATTTTAAAAGCTTATGAGAACTATTATTTTAAGACAAGGGCCCACCAAAGCCTACCAACCCATCAGGCAACTTCTGGTTAAGGCACACCAGTGTCTGTAGCCAATAACATTGAAGGGAGCAGTTCCCAAATCCAAATGACCAGGTACCCATATGCAGTTAATGTGAACTGGGGGTAGCCTTTCATGGGTCCAGAGAAGAGACTGATCTCACAACTTCAGAGACACAGAAAGACACCTTAACCACTCTACCAGTTACACTCCCATTACTTTATGTATTTGTATAAAATGAAAAGCAAACTATTTCACCATCATAATCAGAAGATACCTGTCCAGTTTTAAGCATTATAATTAAAGTATATTATATATAAGAATCCATTTAGTAAGACCTCTATGTGATGTTCATCTATCTCCTACTTCATGTTGTCTTGAAGTAGGAGATAGAACAATGGTTGTCATGTTTAAATTGTAGTAAATTAAAAATATTAAAGATTAAGAAATTAAACTAAATTATAAATTAACTACAGATAAATAAACCTAACAAGTGTGTTAATAACCATTAACTGTACAAGTCATTTAATAAATGATAAAGCATATGGTAAAACTAGTAATAAAACTTGATTTCTCAGTGTTTAAAAACACTCATATAAATGATGCTGTGATTGTCATGAAGTCTGGAGGTGTGTGACCAAATTTAAAAGAAAAATAAACAATTAGCAGTGTTATTTTTTTAACTGAATTATTACAATGGACTCTGCATGATTGGTTCAATAAAAGATATCACCCTAAGAAATTCTTGCCCCTCTATATAGGCCTACACTTGAAGGATTCTCAGGAACTAATAAAGATTACAACTACTTGTTTACCTAGTGGACAAATTACAGGGAGAAAACTGCAACATTTGCTCCCACATAAAATCATGTTATGATCTTTATTTGGGGCCTAGCTACTTTCCATCTCCCCCCTCTCCCCCCCCCCACACACACACACACCTTGACAACTAAAATAAGCTGGGGTCACTTGTAGTCCCTTGACTTGAATACTCCAGGGCATCTTGGGGTTTTTCAATGTTCAACCCTGGTCTCAAAATAACTTCTTCTATTTCTCTAACACAGCCTGCATCTGTTGACTTTCAGAACCAGATATATGGCTTATTTATATTCTCAGGTATTACTTGAGTGAAGGAATCTATTTAACTTTATTCTGGGAAAAAAGTCTTCAGCGTTCACACTGTCAGGATATGCTGTATTTGCTTAAATAGGCTCAAAAATGTGAGATAGGTGAATATTACTATTTCCCTGTATAAAACAATCCAGCAAGTAGGTACGTTGATGTATAAGTACCCAGTGGATGAATGAGAAAGAAAGATATAATTGGCCCTCCCTTCAATTCATCTGTATTAATAGGATCAACTGCAGTGCTCTGTGTAAAAATAAAACAATTGGTCCCTAAAGCATGGCTAATTAATGGAATGAGTCTAGATGAATTGGAGACTGACTAAGAGCACATGTGAGCCTTATGTAAGATCCAACTAACTGCTGATGTTTTAGAATATGAAAAGATATGGGCTAAGTTTTCTCTCTTATTCTAATCTGTCATGACAGACAGGAATGGCAGATAAATTGGTGTAGGCTGAAAAATAAAGTTTCTTTTTAATCATGAAGATAGAACTGTATATCATTTTATTTGTCATCACTACTCACCACTGGATGGCAAGCTTCAAACGTTTCGCTTAACAGTATCCCACATTCCTTCTTGGCAAATGGCTCTCTAAGTGGATTCAGACTACATGGATTACGAATGTCAGAGCTGTCAACACACTGAACCAGAAAGGAAAATCATCACCTATTCAGAAGCACACTTCAGAACCACTGTAATATTTGAACTTTCAAAAACAGTGTAAAAAAAAATCAAGTTGAAATAAAATATATGTATATTTGAAAAATAAAAAGCAATATGGGAAAATATTTTACTTTTCTGGACAAAAAGTGGAAAAGCTAAGTCACCAATATTATGTGTAGATGTTGCTGGGTTTAATTCTTAATCCTTATTAATAGCATAAATAATAAATAGTACGCACATGATTTAGAGGGCCAGACCCTCATTCTTTAACTGCTACCAAAAGCAGAGGACTGAGAGATCACCACCAAATATATGGCAATAAACAGTTCAGTTTTTAATTTTTCAGCACATGTAAAGAATATTTTCCCCTCTTATTGTGTTTTCACGGTTGGATATTTACCAGTTGTGAGCAATAAGTTGCACTGATGATGTAAAGCCAACTCTTCCTTGTTCTGCCAGAAAGCATCATTCCCACTGTCAATATTCTTTATAGCACTGAAAATTCAGTTTAAAAAAAATGTTTTTTCCCCCTTGAGTTAAAGACTGCCAGACTGAATAAACTCAGTGTCTTCTGAGTTAATTATTCACTTGAGTCATCCAGACATGAATTAGGTGACTTATACTGAATTTTCCTGTTTTCTGTAGTTAAACCTTTTACTTTAAGACAGGGGCCAGTGACCTTTACAGAAGGACCCGGCTCCATTCCAGCACAGGCCAGATGGTTTTAGCACTGTATTAGTGGAGGGGGTCTTTCCCCATGCCCATGCTCAAGCCAGGCAGCTGGGAGCTGCACCCATGCCACCACTACTTCTCCCAGCTTGCCCTCCCCCCGCCGGCTGGGGCATGGGCGCAGCTTCTAGCACTGGGGAGCTGTGCCAGTACCTACAAACTTCATTCATGCTGTTGCTACCTCCCCCTTATCCACCCTGGCTGCGGTGTGGGCACAGGTGAAATTTGTCCAGCCCCATGGCAGCTCCCTATCAGCTTGAAACTGCACCTACACCACAGCTAAGAGAGGCGGGAGAGAAGTGGTGGCATTGCAAACACAGTTTATGGATGCCTGGTCCTGGCACAGCTTATTACATGGAAGCTGTGTCCACACTGCAGCTGATGAGTAATAGGATGGGGAGGCAGTGGCAGCACAGGTGTAGCTCCCATCTGCATGGTCTCAACATAGGTGCAGGAAAGGGCCCCCACTGCTAACACCACCCACCCCCATTGGACTGGAGCCAGGAGGGTGGGGAGCAGTGGCAATAGCATGAGAGCAGCTGGAAGCTGCCCAGCCCTGGCACAGCTCTTTGCTGCCCAGCCCCAGTGCTGGTGCAAGGGCAGGCAAAGCTCTTCAGCATCATGAGCTGGATCCAGTGGCCATATATTGTCAGCCCCTACTTTAAAAAAAAGTCTCAATGGACTTCTGAAAACAACCTTAGGAGCTTCATCATGGTTCATCATCTTAAGCTAAAGATGCTACATTAAATCATGCAAACAAAATATGTATATATCTACTGTGTCTGCAAACTGAAAATAAATGAAATTTTGATTTACAGATTTTCTAGTGGAGCGACAGACATGTACAAGAGAGTTGTGCAAGTTTTTATTACTCTTTGAACAATATGTTGATTTTAACATAAAACTGCAGTATATTTAAAGCATAAGCAAAGTGCACATTGATTTTCTGTGCAACGGTGATGTAACATCTGTTACAAAAGGTGCCCTATTTATTTTTCTTCTATTATTATTATTTCAGTGTCATGAGGTATTATAAATACATGATCTGTAGGTATTGTAAGAACTACCTGCAGCTAATCTGATTTTCAGAGCATGGGATTACTGGGTGCAGAAATGATAAACTGTATAGTGTAATCAAGCAAGGAGATACTAAGAAAGACATGTTTATTATTACTTACCTCTACAGCTGCCCAACTACTTCCAAACTCTTGGGCATTTGTTAAGTCAAAATTCTCTGGAGTCCTCATTTCGTTCACTGTTTTCAAGTCAAAATTTCCACATAATCCAGTCAGTTCACCCTAAAAAGATATATACTATACATTAAAATATATATATATATATATTTGCTGTGGAATTACTGGCCACACCTATTATTAAAATTGCTTTGAATTATAAAACCCTGTTTCCCATGGTTGGTAGCTTTCCCAAACTTTTATGTTAGCCAGAAATTTTCCATGTCTCAGACAATTTTTTTCCCCAGATTTCAGCCAAAATGGTAACACTATTTCTGAGAACAAGACTAAGAGAAAATGGTTTGGCATTTAAGATGAAAATTATGGTTATCTCTGGAGCAGGGACTTGAAACTTGACAGTGTGTGGTCTTTGTATCAGAGATGAGCTTTTTGCTTTTCTGATGAAATAGAGAGTATAAGCCTTTGAAAATCTGCAGTTCAAGCTGTTCAGTAGACTTCTTAGATGTTAGTGGCTAAATTTCCTAAACAATCTATTTGCATTTTGTACGTTCCAGTCTCAGAATAAGTCCTGCAACTGAAGTTTCTAAGCTGCTGTGACTGGTCAGGGTCTAAGGACTGGAACCAGGAGAAGGGAAACTATTGTTCCTGTACTCTCAGGCTAGGGACAGAAATTACACATAAACCAGTTTAAGTGATCAGAAACTGGTTTAAACCTGTAACAGAACTGATGTTTAGTGCATATAAACCAATCTGAGAATAGCTGAAACTGGTTTGAGATAAACTTGGTTTAATCAGAGTTAATTGATTTGGCTTAAACTGGTTTAGGCAATGTCTGCCCCAGACCCCTTGCTGGTTAAAAGAGAGACCCCCAGCATCACAGCATGCTCTCTGGGCTGGGCAGGGCTCTCTGCTCCACATCAGGGCTGGCCCCTCCCCTCTGCATCTGTCTGGCTTCTCCGTGCTAAACAGGTATTATTCCCCCACACACACACCTCTAGCAGACACCTCTGGCTTAGCTAGCAGACCACATGCTGGCTATAATTCATGCTGTGGAAGAAACAAAGGTAGACAAACTTTATGGAGCTACTCAACAGGTAGTTTAATGTTCTTCCTTGGAAACATTTTAAAAGAGCTGTTTGCTCCCCTCCCTCCTCGTCACCACTCTCTGCTAAACACAAATTCCCCCCCTCCCCTCTGCCTTTGCTGAGGCATCTGTATACTAACACTGAGATAAGGGTGATAAACACTGTTATCAGCTGCCACCTCCCCTCCAGCTTGCTTGCCTGTCAGTTTGCTGCAGACAGTATACAAAAGCAGAGGGGGAGAGTGAAAATCTCTGTATCATCAACAGTTGCATGCACTGCACCCTTACACCCCTACCCTCCCCCCAGCCTTGCCTCAGAGTGCTAGCCCAGGGCTACAGGCTGGCAACACCCCTACCCCTTGAGCAGAGAGTGGGGAAAAGTGTGGGAGTGCAGGTAGGGTGAGGGTTCACACCTTTCCCTAATCAGAGCCCTGCTGGGGCCTGGCCATGCCCCCCTCAGTTTAGCTCTGTGGAAGGGCAGGGAGGGCTGCTCTAGCACCCCCACTCCCGGCTTCCAGCCTGAGCCACTGCAGGGATGTACCTGAATTTCCTCAGTCCAGAGGGATTGTCTGTGTGGTTGGAAAGCAGTTCAGCCTAGCTTGCTTAGACTAACGTGCAAAGGTTGAATCAGTTCAGGCTCAGGCTTTTTGAATGTCTGTCCCTAGCCTCAGTGACTTCACTTTGGGCATAAGCATCACAGAGGAGGAAGCTGCCCAATTCAAATGTAAAAGAAACAAGAGCTATGTATGCAAAGGAGGCTGGGGGAAGAGACTGATGCAAGGTGCCCTTGTCCCAAGGAGAGGGGAGACTCGGTACCCAAAGCTGGCAGGTAGTGATTGGAAAAACAGGAATGGGTGATGGGGGAGGCTGACAAGATAAGCAAGCAGACTAGGACTGAGATGCATGATAGGGATTGTAACTGGCTGGGCAAGGAACCTACACTGGGAGTTAGGGAGGGATGCAATTAGCAAGGAAGGATATGCTGATATTGGAGAAGTTGGGGATGGGGAGCAACTGGTACAGGCTGGGCAAGTAAACTAGAACAAGGAACCAGTGAGGAGGGAAGGGATTTAAGGTTGCAGTTCACTTTTTTCAGTATGTATTATGACACAGTCCTTAGCTATATGAACACCATTGTTTTCTACCTGACACCTGCTACACTTTGCATTGAACGGCCTTGTTTTGGTTCAATCACGATTGTTCAGTGGAGGTGCTATCTATAGGATACTTGCTTCATCTGTTACAAAAGCTGGAAAGTGTATAGTAACTGAGGTAGAACTGCCTGGAAATAGAAAGCTGCCCCAGTGAGCTAGATGCTATCTGTACCATTTGTAGAAGTGCCAAACATGCATAGTTGCAATTGAAGGTAATGGGGGCTGTGCTGAGAATATAGGAAGTGCAACATAAGATTACATTGTCTAAAATAGTCAGGCCACAGATGTTTCATGCACAGAGCTCTGTGCAATAATAAAGGGACTCCATTTAGATTGCAAAAACTTGGATCTTTATTAGTAGAGTTCTGCACTCGGTGCTGGTGCTTGCAAACATGAGGGCTAGGGACAGACATTAACACATAAAGCAGTTTAAGTGATCAGAAACTAGTTTAAACCTGTAACAGAACAGACATTCAGTACACATAAAGCAGTTGAAAATGGGTGAAACCTGTCTGAGATAAACCTGGTTGAATGGAGTACCAGACTTAACTGATTTGGCTCAAACTGGTTTATGCAACGTTTGTCCCAGACCCCTTGCTGTTTTAAGATAAGCCAGACACCCCCAGCATCCCAGCATGCTCTCTGGGCTGGGCAGGGCTCTCTGCTCCACAGCAGGGCTGGCCCCTCCCCTCTGCTCCCTGGCTGGAGCTCCAGCAGAGATTTGCAGACATAGCAAGGTCTGCTGGCTTCCCTGTGCCTCTCCCCTCCTCTCCACTCACTACTTAAGCAGAAATCCCTTCCCCCTCTCTCCCACAGCATGAACCATAGCCAGCATGTGGTATGCTAGCTAATGCTGTGTAAGGCAGACAGGACAGTGTTCACTTAGTGCTTTTTGGAACTAATCAACAACTCAGCTGGTAATGTCCTTGCTTTCCTTCCTTTGGAAAAAGGTGTTTAAAAAGAGGTTGAACTAATGAGTGAGGCTTTGTTTTCTGATGGGGTGCTAAATGCTGATAACACAGCTGATAAATGCTCTGTTATCAAGGGGAGGGACCCCTCCCTAATCACAGTGTTCTGCTGGGGCCTGGCCACACCCCACTCAGCTCAGCCCTGTGCAAGGGAAGGGAGGGCTACTCTAGTGTCCCCCAGCTTCTAGCCTGAGCCACTGCAGGCATATGCCAGCATTTTTTCAGTGCAGAGGGGATGTCTGGGCAGTTACAAAGTGATTTAGCCTAGCCAGGTTAGACTAACCTGCAAAGATTGAATCAATTCGGGCTCAGGCTTTCTGATTGTCTATCCCTAGCTGAGGTGTAGTGTTTGGTCAGAGCTATTGTGGAATTCTCCATGAATACTGAGCTTCCTGGTGTCACTGTCCAAATCATTCCCATTACAACTTGTGTTCCAAAGAAAATTAAAATTCAATATTCTAAATTGAGGGACATTTCTGACCTCACTCTCTGCTTCCAAGTTCCTCATCTGTAAAATGCCCTTACAATATTACCTCCTCACCTCACAGGGTTGTGATAACAGTCTCATCAACAGCAATGAAGTACTCAGGTACAAGAATGATGAGAGCTATAAAAGCCCATGAACATATTAATAATTCTCATTTCTATACAGCATTTTAATACAGGCATGTGCTATATTGCTGAGTAATGAGGAATGAACAAAATATTGAATAACCATTCATTCAGTGAGCACCACCCATCTTTGGAACCGATTGAGCCATATGTAAGAATTAGCATGTGAACCTTTAATTAAAGACTGTATCATAATACTTACAGTCTAAACTAAGGCTTCACAGAAAATATGGTGCTGACATTACTAACTTTTACATGCTTGAATTTTATACTTAGTAATGTTCTTTTAACAGTTTGTATGTGCATCACATGTGTATCCCTTTATTATCCTTATTGCAACAGCACCCACGATGTGCAAGAAAAAATTATTTCCTTCCTAAAAAAAAATAGCACTAGATATATAGTTTGTGCCAACCAGTACAGCTGCACTGACTTCTAATTTCTGCCAGTAGAGACTGTGGTCCATATAAACTAAATGGCTTTTCCTTAATTTATTCTTTAAAAAAAATTCAGTAATAAGACAGTAAAAGTCAGAGAATTAATACAATTAACTTAAGCAGTAAATGTGTTGTGGGAATGTTGGTTTTCTTTTTTCTAGGTCCTTTAATCTAGACTTTGAACCAGGATAGGAGTTAGCTAAGTGTTTGTATAAATTGCATTAAGGCGTTCTGATTTCTGCTTACTTGCCACTGAGGTCCAGTCTGTATATGAATCGTTGTTCTCTGATCCCATAGAATGGTAATGTGTTCCAGTGGAAAATGAACAACTGTGAAAAATCCAGCTTTCCATACATGTATTGTATGTAATTTTTCTATATAACTGGATGGACTCTGTTCAAAACAAAATAAGCCAATACATAACATAAGGTCTTTTAAAAGTGTCTAGCCACAAAGAAATAAAGTACACCAAAAATGAATGATAGGGATGATTGTAAAATTGTTGTTCTAGTATTGAGTTGTGAGCAGAAAGCAACGTGGTACTCCAGTTTTTGATCGTGAGAGCATTCAGTAGTATAACTAGGGAGAGCAAGCAGGGCACTAGCCCCAGGCACTGATTTTCAGGGGGGCCAAAAATAGGGAGTCACTCAGGGAGTCTGCGCCATGATGTGGTGGTGGTGATGGCACAGCAGCAGCAGCTGGATGTAGGGATACCACACTTACAAAGCTAGAGATCCAGGTTCTAGGTCCCACTCACTCAGAGGGGGACTGAATGTGTATCTGCCTGACTTCCTAGCACACTACTTTACTCATGGTTCTACCAGTCAGACATTTCTGCAGTCCTCTCTCCAGCACTCCTTTGGAGCCTCACTCCTTTTGAGCATGTTCCCTGGGCAGCAGAAAGAGGCAGGTATGTAGGGTCACGAGCCAGAGTGTAACATGGAGCATGTGTAGCTTAGTGAGATGGCTGATGCTTTGGAGGGGCGGAGGTGATAGCCTGGACTTTTGCCTCTAATGGAGCAGAAACTCAGTAGTGAACTCAGTAGCATAACCAAGGGAAGTGAACTGGGGCAGCAGCCCTGGGCACCACCTTCGTTAGGGAACACAAAAGCAGCCACTGCAATTGGAACAGCAGAAGCTAATGCTGCCCCAGGCACCATGCTACTCCCGAAACAGAGCAGCACTGCTATGCCTGTGCAGAAATGTCCTCAGTGCTCTCCAATCCATGACTGTTAAGTGCAAGAAGGTACAGTAGCTCACCTTCAAAAGGAACACTGAGAGGCCTGTACAGTGCCAAACTTGTGGTCTGGTGGCTAGAGTACTAAAAATGAGGGTTCAAAAATGCCCTCTCAGTAAGTGGAGCCCTGAATCTGTTTCCTTGGTAAGTGCCACAACCACATGGTACTGGGGTTAAAACAAAGGAGGCCCCTCTCAGAGGACTTAACTCTCAGATACGCATATGCATGGATCTGTACATACTCAAGCACTGCAGTCTACTGAGCATGCTCAGTCTACATACACACACATTTGTGTCCCCTGTACAGGGATAATAGAATTGCAGCTTGTGTGCAAATGCCAAATATATAACTAATTGGGCTATAAAACTGTCATGTAAATGAGCGAAGGATAAGAGAATTCCTCTCTATGACTTTTCACATTTTCAGGCAGCAGGATTGGACAGTGAATGAAAATGCTGTACAGGTTTCATAAGGAGCTGCAAAATTAATCTCAAAGGTGCACAGGTGCAATTTTTACTAATTTCATTAGGATGTAGGCACATGCACAAGTACTTTTATTAATATGCAGGGTTTTCTTGACCAGGAGCCTCCCTACATAGGGCCACAGTCTCCTAACCTTACTCACAGAACAGGACTTTTTTTCTGCAATCAGTCCCAATTAGACTTCAAGCTATTTGTGGCACTGAGCATGTTTAACTATATATGTGCACAGCCCCAAATGCAAAGAGACTCAGTCCTGATTGTACCTTCGGGCTCTACCATAGTAGAAAATTATACCATGTTAATACATATAGAAGTAACAGAACTCAGCGTACAGATAGCAGAATCTGATTTGTAGTAACAATATCTCTGCCTGAACCACAGTGCAAACTAATGTAACTGGTACTTATTTTATTTAATTGTATAGAAATGTTAAAAAATTCAGAGACATGAAATGAAATCTTGGGCTTGCTGAAGTTAAACTTCCTTTGAATATTTTAAACTTACAAGGAAGCATTATGATCATATAACTAATCAAGTGATTCTCAACCACGGTGCTATGCTTCCCTTCCCACCTGTAACAATATGTATGGATATCAGAGGCAAAACCAGCAGCAGAAGGAGGAGTCCAAAGGAGGAACAGGAAGTGAGGGGAGGAGACAGGAAGAGGAAGTGAGTTAGAGAGGCTGGGGGAGAACAGTAGGCCCTGTAACAGCTCTGTAAGAAACTGCTATAATAAAGACACTGTTTATATTAAGTAGGAAGCTGTTCCTTGATTACCCATACAGGGTCACATGAAACACCACCTACTCCCCACTGCAACTTCTCCAGTCTCACCACGTCCTTCCCCAGTAACTCCATATTAATCTACTCCTTCCTGTTTCCCTCCCTAACTCCCATGGCACCTTGGAGTGCCTTGAGATCAATGGTACCGTAGGAACAACATAATATTGCCACTGGTAGGTGTACAAGCATGATTCACAAGATAAGCCCAGGGATATCCAATAGGAATCCATAAACATTCTGACCTGTTGTGGTCATTCCAAGTTCTTTGCAACAGAAGTGCTCTATTATTTTTCCATAGTCAAAAATGATGCAAGCTAAGAGCTGGCATTTTCTGAGAGAGGTCTTGAATCTAAAAAGGTTGAGAACCACTGATCTAGTCTGGCCTTCTATATATTACATTCTGTACATTTCACTCACTGATTCCAATGAACTAGCCAAATGCAATCAGCATCTACTATACAAGACAACATACTTTTGCAGACTACTTTGAATAGCTGTTCTTTTAGATGTTTTGTTAAACAGGAACACATGCAATCATAATATACATGTGTTCTTACTGTAATATTAAGAAGTTAAAACTTACTGGATTTCCAGTTTCATCCTCAAAAATTATAAAAGATTTCCCAACATTAATGAAAATATATTTTCTGCAAATGATTCCTGTATTAAAGCAGTTAATGTTTTCTATAATGACTGAGAAGCTAGTTTCCGATGTGCTCTGCAGAGGAAAAACAAAATATGTAAACTAAATCAATAACACTTTGTTATAGCTTTGCAAAATAATTACATTTTTCTTATCACTGACAGGAACTGCAATGTGTTATAAGCATAATTAGGGCATGGCTCAAAATTTAAGAAACACATTAAATATCAACAGAATGTATATGTAGGTGAGAAGTAGAACAAAAACTAGATTAGACTCTGTGTAGCACAGATGCATAGAAAACCTCACGGCTCATCTGCCTTCATCTGTTCCCTTAGGTGGCATTGTAAATTTTACCTTCTTCCTGCTG